AAAAAAAAAAAATGTTCCGCAAATTTTAAGAAACCCCAGTAAGTACAAGTTAAAGTTTAAGTTACAGTGGCGGCCTCATAGGAGGGGCGTCACATGCATAGTGAAAACTACTGTGCTCTCTTGCAATAATGCACCCCATCTAACTTCCACCAACCACGTCCTTCCTCTCCCATGCTTGGGCAGAGAATCTCCAGACTTATTTCTCATTTAACTTATTATAATTTTGAGTTATAATTTTTTGCATTTAATTTTTTTTCTACTAATATTTCATTTTTTTAATTATGTAAAATTTATAGTTCTTTAAATTACACCTAACGTAATTTACATGGCCAAAAGTTGGTTCTTATTTTGGTCATGGTTCAAAATCAGAAAGCAAGACAACCAAACACTAATTCGAATCACATTTCAAGTTAGAATTATAATTATGTCTATACACATCCAAATAAAGGTTTCAATCACTATAAATTATGATTTTAATCTAAAAACTCAAATCACGCTGATTCCAATTTCAACCAACTGGTGCCAGCCCACTTAGTAAGGAAATCCCATGCTCGAATCTTGAGAGAGCGCTTGTATTAAAAAAAAAATCTTAAAACAAAATTCAGAAATTTGTAAAAGCAGAAATTGTCACACTAATCAGTTATCAGTTTTTATTTTTCAAACGACAATAAAAAGGAGTATCATCTCTCAAGAACAGTAGCTACTTCCTTTTAAATTGATTTTGCTTATCATTATCATAATTATTGTTAATTATATTTTTGTTTCTTTAACATGATAAAAAAGGATTAGATATTTGTAGTTAGACTAGTACTGGACTAGCCAAGACCAAAGAATGCCTTGAACAAAATTTTTTTGTTCAGTGAAGAACAAAAATAAGGGAATAAATATTCCCCAAATGATGCTAAGGATACCGAATTGTTTATTTACCAAATTTTGAATACCAAATGATATGGCAATCGACTTGTTAGAATATAACTGATAGCTGATATTTGAGTTTGTTGTGCTTATCTTGTTTAACAATTAGAAATCAACAATTTTGTTACCAGATCAATTTGTTAGAAGGTAATTTATGTTCACTCCTTTGTTGATTTGTCGACTAACAAAATATGCCTCTTTCCATCAACCTTTTCACTTTTTTTTTTTGGTTGAATCGGGTAATGTCAAGCATCACAACCACCTAAACGCATCCTAATTATATTGACACCCGCTTAGCTAGTCGATCCTTTGCTAGCACTACCAACCTTCATTAAATAAAAAAAAAAAAGTATTACAATATCCACAATAGACACATCAACAAGCCAAGAGCCACAAATTAAAAAAAAAAAAAAAATTGTATCCATATGTTTATTAATAACTAAAAAACAATTAAAGGCTGGGGAAGCTAACTATCCATGTGAATAAGAATGGTTGGAGTGGGCATCCATAAGTTTGAGCGTATAACTCTCACCTTGGATGATCACAACGAAATGTATGTCTCGTTAAAAACCTTACTAGACAAAACCCAGTGGGAAAAATTCTAGTAAGGAAAAAAGAGTGCATATTTTGGTAAATCACAACGAGAAAAATCCAGAATCAACACTCACACCAAAAGAGAATGCAGCGACTACCCTAATTCAATGTTCGAGTGAGCATGGAGCAAAAATCCAGAGTAGAATGCCACCAAGATTCAACCTGGTTAGAGAAGAAAACTACTAGTTAACAGAATTAAGGGGGGAAAAACAGAGGAAGTCATATATGCATAAAGTTCAACATTTGTATTTAATCTCCATGCTTGACTTACATAAATACGGAGGAAAGCAGGGGAAAGTAGCTCTGAACTTTATATCAACATATTACTCCTATTGTTCTGCAACATAAAAAAAACTTAGAAGACATCAGATTACAAAATGTGCAAAATTGGTGATCACAATGTCCATTACAAAATCAAATGAATCATAGTTGTTGGCTCTAGAATATAGAAAATAGATAGAAAAAAGAGAAATTAGAAACTAGGTAAAGAGAGGATATGATTACCATTAGATATAGACATGCTACAGATTTATGTACAAAAATGTCTCTGGACGCGATCCAATCTATCCAAATCCTTCCGTTTTCAAACTATAGCTCCCCCGACGAAGCGAAAAGGAAAAAAGATTTCGACCCTTCTAAATCGGCTCTGGCTGATTGATGTCTTTCATGTAATTGAACATCAAAATCATCTACAATTAATGACAGAATAAAAATAACAAAATTTGGATTCGAATATTGTAATATCTAAGAATGATAATTGAATAGTGTACCTGAAAGAAGAAAAAGAAAAGGATGAAAGGATCATTTGTGTCTTTAATCGTATGCCAATCTGCTTCTGTATAAATTTGGACAGTCATCAATCTCCAATCTTTTTGAGGATTCGAGGCTGCGAATTTCTGCAGGCAGTGTTTCCAACATGGGACACGTACGAATCACAAGTTTCTCGAGAAATTTTAGTTTTCCGATCCAAGCGGGGATTTTCTTCAGACCACAGTGACCAACATGGAGTTCTTGCAAGGTTGTGACTTGTTGAAGGCCCTCGGGAAGAGTCGTCAGTTCTGGCAGAGAATTAAGTTTCAACGTTTGAAGGCTCTTGAGGCTATCCCACGCAATTTCACCAGCTTTGGAGCCATCAAACTTGTCGATGCTAGCAATGGACAAATTCTTCAATTTGGAGAGTGCTAATGGCGGTGAAGTAGTTGACGATGATGCTAATTCTGGCTTCTTGGTGAGGTGGAGTGGACTCAAGCAAGTCGACTCCAGAACTAGCCCTTCTTCTAGAGTTGGGAAAAGCGGCATTGAATCTAACTGTGGGCAATTCTCGATTACTAACTTAGAGAGACAAGGAAATGAAGGCAAGTACTTTTGATTCCCCAATGAAACTGATTCAGTTTTCCGCCATCCTCGTAGCTTAGGCATTTCTGTGAGCGAGAGTTCCTGCAAAGCTGGAAAATATGTTTTCGATTCATCCTCAATGTATTCCAGGTTGCTTATCTCATCCAGTATCAATACCTTAAGCTTGACGAGTTGACCGAATGGTGGTAGATATTTGCACCCCCAACATTTTCGCAACAAAAGTTTGACTAGATTTCTTTGCGGGACGTTAAGCCAAGTTGGAAACATGGTACCCCCATAGCCATGTAAAGTCAATCCTTTGAGATCCAAGTGTGGCTTGAGATCTTCCAGTTGGCTTTCGTAGACTTCTGGAGGAAATGGTCCTGTTTCTCCGACATCCCAATCCAGTGATAAGACTTGAAGATCTTGTTTCGCTCCCAAATATGCAGCTTTGGCATCTTTCGAAGTTGTCAAATTCTTAATTTGAAGCTCTCCTCTCAGGTTGTTTAGCTTTTCTAGTTCGTTTAGACCGCCACTATTCCCGTAGGCAGAACTAGAGTCCTTCATCTCCTTGTTCAATACAAACTGAGGCAAGACATGTAGATTAGTCAGCTCACCCAAACCCCGAGGCATGTGAGTCAAGTTATAGCACCCGTCGATCTCAAGACTTCTGAGATTGACCAGATTCTTAATGTCCTTCGGCAACTCTTCAAGTCCAATGCAATCGGAGAGCTTCAGTGTTTGCAAATACTCGAGCTTGGTGACAGAAGCAGGCAGGGCCTTCATATATGCATTTTTTGAAAGATCAAGGTATCTCAGGTGCATCAATTCTTCAATGAAATGAGGAACCACCTTAATCCCTAAATCATGCAGATCCAGTGCGCGCAGCCACCGAAATTTTGAAATGATTGCATCAGTAACTAATCCTGGTCTCCAATGAAGAGAATCCTTACTAGATTGAGTTGCAGCAATGTGCAAAATCTTTTCTGGATCGATCATGCCTTCTTCATATTTCAACAATGATTGACGGGGCAAAAGGATTGATCGAATCATTTCTGGATCATCCTTCATGCTTCTTGGAATTTGTCGTGGCGAATGTAAATGAAAATTAAACGACACATGATGAGTTGTTGGAAAATGATCAAGATCATAATCTCCGTCACCTGAATGCAACACGACGTATCTCATTCCGCCTATTATGATTAAAAGATTGTACCCACTACCATCCATTTTGCATCTTGTTACAGCTCTATCCAAAATATGATCATCTGATTGATCAACTTTTTGGAAAAAGCCTTTCTCGAGTAAAACAACAAAATACATGTGACCTACATCCTCTAGACTTTGGCTGTCATCATCTAATAATGTAATAAATCCTTGTGCCATCCAAAGATGTATAAGTGTGTGCACGTCTATCTCACAATCTTTCGGAAATAGTCTACAGTACTCAAAACACTGTTTCAAATACGAGGGAAGCTCGACATACCTTTGAAAGAGCGAGCGATCGATTTCAATTTCATCTAATCGATCATCATCATTGAGAGTACTACCCTTAGAAATCCAGCTCTGCCAAAAATTTTTTGTATAATTGAACTGCAATATATCTACTATTGTGTTTATGACCGTTACCTTCCAAGCCCTATCATCATTACCGGTGAGAACAGATCCCAACCATTTTGAGAGGACATGCTCGGGAGTTCTTGTTTCTCGACAGACTGTGATAATGAATTGTTCTTCATCAAATCCTGAAGAAGAATCCAGGAAAAATGGAGGCTTCGTACCCATGTTCTCAGCTGCCTCTTCATTGCTTGTAACGATGAATATCTTGCTGCCCCCTTTACCAACCCTCGCCGCCAATCGTTTTAAGCAGCGCCAATACGTTTCATCTTCCACACTCCTCAGGTCATGTAGTACAAGCACGAAAGTTTTCCCCTTTGTTGCTTCTTGCAGAAAACCCTCCAGATCATCAGTCGGTACAGCTGATTCCCAGGAGTTCAGCTCGGCTACCTCTTGTACTCTCACTTGTACTCTCATGTTAAAGAGTTCATATACACAAACCCGTATTAGTGTATCAAACCCCGGTTCACGCCGTGCAGCTCCACCGTGTATGAATAGAGCAAGTGCAGTTTTTACTGCTCCCAGTTTACTGATTATAGGAACGACCGGGACACAAGGACCATCTTCTTGACGGAAAGCTATTTCAATTATCTCAAATGTCTCAATTAAGCTCAAGGCGGAGCTTTCTACACAGCTTGATATCAGTTCGGTGATATCATGTATTGCTTCTTCAAAATTACTCCAAAAATAATTTGGAAGCGATAAAGTAGGCCGCTGCTTTTGAGAGCTACCGGTGGAGTGAATCTTGCATACCTTGATGAGCTTTCTCCGCCGAAAACTTTCAGAAAACATCTCATCTACCTTGTCTTCTAGATCATGCATACTCCCTTCAAGTTCAGAACTGTTAAGGCCATGGATATATGAGAAACAAGTCTGCATGTTCTTCTTCTTATGATCGAATGCAGATTTGATTGTGGATATCTTTTCGTGAAGTCGCTGAAGCTCATGATAATCTACACGGGGGTGGTCTGGCCATGCAGCTGGATCAAGGAAATCAAATAAGTCCAAGCACAACCTCTCAAAGATCCGATTGGCGACACTCGCAATGTTTTCTGACATAATGGGCTTGTTGAATTAACAGATCTCAAAATTTCAAGGCTAGGAGTTCAAATGTTGATTTTGTGCAAAGAGATCAAAATGAAAATGTATATTGACTTATATATAACTTCATCTAGTATGCCTTATTTTCTAATAATTCGATACCAAAACCAGAGAAAAAGCGTTGTATCTGATGCGGCTGCTAACCCATTACTGCACGTAAAGAAGCAACCTCATAGAGAGAGAGAAAAAAAAAAAGGCATAAATAATTCCATTTTCCTTGCTTGATTAGAAAAGAAAAAGGAAAAATGCTGAATTGGAAACTAAAACGTTCTCAGTTACATCTCCCCCATTAATTTTCCATTTCAGCCAATTAGAATCTCAAGATCCATAAATTAGAAAACAATTATGTTCTTGTTAACATGTTATAATATGACATATTTTAGGCATTATATATGTTGTGAGCATCTCCTAAACAAAATTTAATTTAAGTATAAAAATTTGAAAATTTCTAAGTTAAACTCTTGTTCATTGTTCCTAGCATGATTATATATGTAGCTACTGCATTACTAATTTACTAGCTAGCAAAATTATACAAAAATTGAGCTTCCAATAATTACTTTATAGTTAATTTTATCAAAAATATTATGGCGAGAAGTTAAATTTACATGGAAGATCTCATGTGCAGATTTAACAATTTTAAAGGCATATGTAATAATAAGCTATTCCAATTAGAATCTCCGGATCTATAAATTGGTAATAACAACATTTATAATTCTTGCCCTTACACACTTTGTATAGTAAATAAATGTTTTAACTAACATGTTATATTTTGTTACTTTTATTTCTTATTATGTTGTGGGCATCACCTAAAAAAGTTATATGTAACTTTAAAACATTCAAAAATTTGGAACTTTTATCACTGTTCCTATGTTTATTCTAACATGATTATGCTTTGCTTGCACAAGTCTATTAGGGTCTTACTAGTGCAAATCCTCATCGCCATCTCCATAAACCTATGCATGTTTGGATTAGCCATTAAACATTTGACAAAGGACATTAATGTTTTACTTTAAAAAAAAAAAAGGACATAACGTTCAAATCCAAGTCCTACACAAAAGCTAAAGTTAGCAAAGATATTGGGAAAAAAGTGCCAAATAAAAAGGCAGGGGGCCATTTGATATGAGTTAAACTTGACAATACTTCATACTTAGTCATAATTTTTTTTAACGATTTCTATTTAATTTTTTTTTTTTTTCATTGCATCCGTTTTAGTTATTAGATTTAAAACGTGCAACACTTAGATTTTTAAACTTTAATACTTGACTACAAGTTGAATGGATGAAAAATTTGCACACATTATTATAGTTTCATTGATACTATTATTTAAAAGTTTTGTTGTTTCAAAATGCTCCAAATCTAAACCCCTAATAGTGTCATTCCGGTTTAAACCTTTTTAAGAAATTATAAATAACCAAGAGTAGAGATCATTACTGGTCATTTTATAGATTTATATGCAAATATCACAATTTGTTGACATTTTTTTTCTTTTTTATTTTCATCACATTGCATAATGAACATATATGTAATTGCATCATAAGAATTTATCAAGTCTTAATATCTTATAGTAAAAATTACACTACATGGCAATATTACTACGATGGAATTGAAGTTTAGCACTATTTTCATAATCTTTTAAAAATAACATAAAGACCACATAATTATAAATATTTTGAAAATGTTATTATATTTCAACTTAATATTTTGCTTTACATTAATATGCAAATGCTGCTATATTCCAACTTAAGATTTTGCTTTATGTCCGAAAACCCTATTCTCATGAAGGACCATCGTTGTGAGCCCAAATCATATCTCGGCCCCCATTCAGCCCAACCCATTTTTACATCTGATCTTCCTTCCTTTTCGTTCAAGGCCCAAGATCTTTCTCTGCCCCCAATACGGCCTAATCTAAATTATCCCGCCCAAAACTTCAAATTCAAATTCAAACACTTTAACGTTTCCATTCTCATTTTCATAAATATAAATCCCCTTTTACTCTCTCTCTCTCTCTCTCTCTCAACTCAATTCTCTCTCTGGAATTCTCCGGCAGACATTCAAAGCGCTCCTTCCTTACCGGTCAAATTCTCCATGGCCGCGAAACGCCCGCTCCAGAGCAGCAGCGCCGCCAACATGACAGCGGCGGTGCCGGCGGCTCCCGGGAATAAGACGATTGAGGAAATGTACCAGAAGAAGTCTCAGCTCGAGCACATCCTCCTCCGTCCCGACACCTACGTCGGATCCATCGAGAAGCACACCCAAACCCTCTGGGTTTTCGAGAACGACGAGATGGTCCACCGCTCCGTCACCTACGTCCCCGGCCTCTACAAGATCTTCGACGAGATCCTCGTCAACGCCGCCGACAACAAGCAGCGGGATCCCTCCATGGATGCCCTCAAGGTCACAATCGATGTCGAGCAGAACTCTATCAGCATCCACAACACTGGCGATGGTGTTCCGGTCGAGATTCACCAGGAGGAGAAGGTCTACGTCCCTGAGTTGATCTTCGGACATCTCTTGACGAGCAGTAACTATGATGATACTCAGAAGAAAACCACCGGTGGACGAAACGGTTACGGTGCCAAACTCACGAACATTTTTTCGACGGAGTTCATCATCGAGACCGCCGACGGCAAGCGCCTGAAGAAGTATAAGCAGGTATCTACTCTGTTTTACGCTCATTTCTGAAAAGGATTCGTCTTTGGATTATTTGAATTAGGGAAATTAGTGTTTTTCTGGATATGATTAATACATTAGATTTGATTAGGGTTGTTCTTCAGTTTCTGACCTGATTAGGGGTTCTTGAGATCATTCGGATTGGGGCGTTGCATAAAAGTTAAATATTTTTCGTACTTGGTTGTTTAGTAGTATACTCTAATGACTTGATTAGGGTTTTTACTTTCTTGTATGCAATTTGATTAAACTGCTTCTTCCTTGTTTTGCTTGCAAGTTGCTTACGGTTGTTCTTACACTTCTTTCTTGAATATGTCTATTGAGGGTAATTATATTAGGGATTATTGTGCATACATCCGGGTTGATTAAATTGCATCTTCCTAGTTTGAAATTATCCTCTAATGAGTATGTTAGGTGGTTAATTACGGTTTTGTATGCAAGCTGATTAGTGTTGTTCTTACATTTCTTAACTTTAATTAGGGTTTTTGTGGCTGAGTTTATAATCTTTGATTAAATTGATCCTTGTTATTTTGAAGGTCTTCTCTAATAACATGGGAAAGAAGAGTGACCCAGTCATCACCAAGTGCAAGGAGGGTGACAACTGGACCAAGGTCACATTTAAGCCTGATTTGGCCAAATTTAACATGACTTATTTGGAGGAAGATGTGGTTGCACTCATGAAAAAGCGAGTGATTGACATGGCTGGATGCCTTGGAAAAGGTGTCAAAGTGGAGTTAAATGGACAACGGGTCCCTATCAAATCTTTCCTGGATTATGTTGATCTCTACCTGAATTCTGCTCGTAAACTTAAAGACGTTTCTCTCCCAAGGTTCTTTCTTTGAAACTATAGGATATGAATTTTCATTTTGGTGTTTCGTGATGGGAATCCTTGTTGCTTACATTATTTTTTACAATTTTGGCAGGATCACAGAGAGAATTAATGGGAGGTGGGAGATATGTGTGAGTCTTAGCGATGGGCAATTTCAACAGGTAATCTTTAGAATTTTATTTCGATGATCATAATAAGTATAATATTTGAAACTGCTGTGCAAGTTTTATACTATGTTTCTATCCACTACCAGGTCAGCTTTGTAAATGCGATTGCAACAACTAAGGGTGGAACTCACGTCGATTATGTCACAAATCAGATCACGAACCATGTGATGAATATTGTAAATAAGAAGAACAAGAATGCCAACCTCAAAGCCCACAATGTTAAGAATTATTTATGGGTTTTTGTCAATGCACTTATTGACAATCCTGCTTTTGATTCTCAAACTAAAGAGCATCTGACTCTTCGTGCAAGCAGTTTTGGTTCCAAATGTGAACTTCCACCAGAGTTCTTAAAGAAAGGTTTCTTGCAGTACCTTACTTATATCTGATGATATAAAGCAGTAATACTAGCAAATCAAAATATTACAATGTTTTTTAGCTTGATAGTGTCTTTTGATTATCTTGTAGTTGCAAAGTCTGGAATTGTGGATTCTCTTCTATCATGGGCAAATTTCAAGCAGAACAAGGATCTTAAGAAAACTGATGGAACAAAAACGGAGAGGGTTCATAACGTTCACAAGCTGGAGGATGCTAATCAAGCAGGTGGTAGGAACTCTGAGAAGTGTACCTTGATTTTGACAGAAGGAGATTCAGCCAAGGCTCTTGCGGTAAGTAGTTGTTAGGTTTCATAAATTCATTTCAAATTCACGATTTTGTTTAATCAAGTTAACCTGAATGTCGGTTATAACACAATTAAATTTGCATAGATGGCTGGGCTCTCTGTCGTGGGTCGAGACCATTATGGTGTTTTTCCATTAAGAGGTAAATTGCTCAATGTGAGGGAAGCCAGTGCTACTCAGCTTAGGGATAATGAAGAAATTAAGAACATCAAGAGGATTCTTGGACTGCAACAGGATAAGCAATACTCAAATGTCAAATCTCTGAGATATGGTCATCTAATGATTATGACTGATCAGGTCTGATTCCTTGAGCTCCTCTTCTTTTTGTTGTAGCTTGCCTAAATCTTCCTTTAGAAGAAACAGTGAATGACTTCTTTTTATGAGAATCTAGATTAAAGAAGCTTTACTTTGATGATTCTGCAGGATCATGATGGATCTCACATTAAGGGTCTGTTGATTAATTTCATTCATTCTTTCTGGCCATCACTATTAAAAGTTCCATCTTTCTTAGTGGAGTTTATAACTCCTATTGTAAAGGTTCGTTCCCTTCACTAACTTGTACATTTCTAATTTGATTATTGTGGTTGGTATTCCTGGAATACAGCTTTTTAACTTCTGTACTATCCATTGCACAGGCAACTCAAAAAAAAAACGGGAAGGAATTGGCATTTTATACTATGCCCGAGTATGAGGCATGGAAGGACAGTTTGAGGGGTAATGCAAGTGGGTGGTCCATCAAATACTATAAGGTTTGTGTTTTCAAGTAATAAGTAAGGAACCTTCTCAAATTCTGGGAGTAATTTTGAAATTAAAAATCAAATCTTCTGTTTGTTCATTCACTTATCTAATATTCTACTTCCAGGGGTTGGGAACAAGCACCTCAAAGGAGGGGAGGGAGTATTTTCAAAATCTGGATAAGCACAAGAAAGATTTTCTTTGGATAGATGAGCAAGACGGAGAAGCAATTGAGCTTGCATTTAGTAAGAAAAAAATAGAAGAGAGGAAGAATTGGCTCCGTCGATTTGAGGTTGGATGCTTCTAGTGTTAAAAGTTGGGTTTGAGATTTAAAAAATAAACTGTAGTAGTAATAATCTTTCTCTTGATATTTGCAGCCTGGTACTCACCTGGATCAGAAGGAGAAGCTCATAAAATACAGTGACTTTGTTCATAAAGAACTTATATTGTTTTCTTTGGCGGATCTACAAAGGTCTATTCCTTCAATGGTTGATGGCCTGAAGCCGGGTCAAAGAAAGATACTGTTCTGCTCTTTCAAGAGGAACTTTGTTAAAGAAGCAAAGGTTGCTCAGTTTTCTGGTTATGTATCTGAACATTCAGCTTACCACCATGGTGAGCAGAGTCTTGCTGGTACTATCATTGGAATGGCGCAGGATTTCGTGGGTAGCAACAATATTAACCTTCTTATGCCAAATGGACAGTTTGGCACACGTAACCTGGTAAATGAACTATGTGTCACGTCTTAAATCTACTAAAAACTTTGTATGCCTTAAAATTCTGTACACAGTGGTTTTACAAATATAATTTGCTACTTTTCAGGGAGGCAAGGACCATGCAAGTGCTCGTTATATATTTACTCAGCTTTCTCCTATCACAAGGTCCCTTTTCCCAAAGGATGATGACCTCCTTCTTGACTTCTTGAACGAGGATGGGCTATCCATTGAGCCAACTTGGTATTTACTTTTCTTACGTACTGTCATATATTCTTTATTTAGTTGGATGGTGGACAAATTGCTGACAAATCATTTTCGACGAATGTATAGGTATGTCCCAATCATTCCAACGGTTCTTGCCAATGGAAGTGAGGGTATTGGAACCGGTTGGAGCTCATACATCCCTAATTATAACCCAAGAGATATTGTTGCGAATGTGAGGCGCTTGCTAGATGGTGATGAAATGGTACCAATGATTCCATGGTACCGAGGATTTAAGGGAACAATAGAGAAGTCATCGAAGGAAGCAAGCTTCTTTGTAAGTGGGTTAATGGAAGAAGTCAATGAGACAACAGTTAGGATAACTGAGCTTCCAATTCGTAGGTGGACTCAAGATTACAAGGAATTCTTGGACTCTATTTGTTATGGGAACGACAAAGCCAAGGATCCTTTTATCGAGGTAAATTGACACCGAAGTCTTTGACAATAATGCTATCTGCCTGACTATTTTAAAGAAAGCTCTATTTTCTCATCAACATTTTCATTTTTCTGGCTGCAGGACTTCACACAGCACAGTGATCACAGCACTGTAGATATCCTTGTCCACTTAGCTGAGGAGACCTTGATTGCAGTTAAGCAAGAGGGTCTACTCAAAAAATTAAAACTGACCACTTCAATAAGCACAGCTAATATGCACTTGTTTGATGCAAATGGTGTGATAAAGAAATATGATACTCCGGAACAAAGTATGTGGGTCACCTAAATATGTTGATTAAATAAATTCTGTTTATCTTCTAATTTGCCGTACTAATTTAGTTTGTTTGTCCTTTGCATCATTCCTCGTGCAGTTCTTGAGGAATTCTATCACCTAAGGCTTGAATTTTATGAAAAAAGAAAGGTGAGCTTTTATCATCATATTAATATTTGTATGTTACAGGTCCTTTTCGTTTCAGTCACATTTTCTCAATAGGTTACTTATGAAAGCTTTTGATGATGCATGCAGAAAGCACTACTGGATAATCTAGAGTTGGAGTTATTGAAGTTAGCAAACAAGGTTAGGTTTATCCTTGGGGTCGTTACGGGAGAGATAGTTGTGAGCAACAGAAAGAGAGCGGATCTGTTTGTCGAGTTGCAACGGAAAGGTTTCACTCCTTTCCCAAAGAAAACTAAAGCTGTTGAGCCAGAGGTGGCTGGGGTAACTGAGGATGCCGAAGATACAGAAGAGAACTCAAACGCTGAAGCTATCAGCACTGAAGCCCGAATTAGTGATTATGAGTATCTTCTATCCATGGCAATTGGAACATTGACCCTTGAGAAGGTCCAGGCACTATGTGGGGAAAAGGATAAGCTCAACAATGAGGTTGAGGAATTGCGAAAAGCAACTCCAAAATCACTATGGGTCAAAGATCTCGATGCTCTTGAGACTCAGTTAGATGTATGAATCACTAATCATTAACTCTTTTTATTTATATCATTTCCCACCATGCTGTTCTGATATTTTTGAATTCGTTTCAGGAGCTAAACAAAAGTGATGCTCAAGCAGAGGAGGCAAGAAAGAAATCAAAAGGCCAAGTAAAGAACGCGGCTGTTTCTAAAGTTTCTAGACAAGCACCGAAAGTTCCTCGCAAGAATACTAAGAAGGCCAGTAATGCAGAAGCTATTGCAGATATTACTGAAAATTTTGATTCAGCAATGGAATTTGGTAAGCTTGGGACTGTTAAAAGCTTGCTTTATATCGGATATTTTTCTCTATATTATTTTTCTCTATTTCCTTACATGAAATGCTATTGCTTTTCTAGAAAAAGCCCCAGAAGTAGCGAAACCAAAAGGCAGAGCTGGTCCAAAGAAAGCTGCTTCCAAGGTCTAGTTCTCACATTCCCTCTCCCCTTCTGAAAACAAAAAGGGTGGGATGACTAAGCATGTATTGTTTTGTTTTCGTTTTTTTTTATCTAAGCAGGTAGTTGTTGAAGATGACGATGATGATGATGATGAAGTACTTGCCCTGAAAGATCGACTTGCTGCCTACAACCTTGATTCATCTCCTGATAAATCATCAGGTTCATATTTTCTTGATTTCCCTTTTGATACGAGCCTCAATGGAAAACATATTTGTATTGAAGCATAAATGGAAAACATTGCATATCTGCATGTAGACTAAAGAGTTGTGATAAGAACTTCTGCTTATTCACTTGGTTTCTCTCTCTCAGAAATGGATACCGAAGCTCCACAGGTTCCGGTCCCAAAGAAAGCGCCTACCAAAAGGGCTGCTGCACAGAAGAAGACCTTGGCAACTGTCTCAGAAACTGTCAATCTTGATGATGATGATGATGACGAGATAGATGGTGACGAGGACTTCGAGCTTGAATCCACCGCACCTGCCAAGGCAGCCGCGAAGAAGGGAGGAAAGAAGCCTGCTGTGAGTACAAAAGCGGTATCGAAGGCCCCTGCAGCAGCAGCAACCAAGAGGAGAGGCGCAGCCAACAAAGAGCCTCAGGTGTTGGGGCAGAAGCTCTTGACGGATATGCTCAAGCCCGCAGAGAATTCCGGGCTTTCGCCAGAGAAGAAAGTGAGGAAAATGAGGGCTTCTCCGTTCAACAAGAAGAGTGGTTCTGTGTTGGGAAGGGCTGTTAATATAGATGATGACGATGAGGCAACAACTGCAAGTCAAGAGAATTCTCCTTCAACTTCTGAGAGTGTTGATGATGTAGTTGAAGTTCCCGCCTCAAAAGCGAGGCCGCAGAGGGCGAACCGCACGCAGGCAAGGTATGTGTTGAGTGACTCTGAGAGTGAGAAGGGTTCTGATGATTCTGAATTTGACGAGACTAAGGACTAAACTACCGTAGATGTTGAAGTGTGAAGCTAACCAAGGAAATTGTAGCTCATTTTCCTGTGTGACGAATAAATGTACCTTGAACTATTTGGTATTGGTGTTAAAATTGAATTTGCATCTTGAATTTGTTGAATGTACACTTATAAATTCTTAGAGTGTTTTATTTGTACATTTGAGTTGTATATTGGAGAAAAAAACGCTACAACAAGAAAATTATTTTAATTTTTATGAGAAAAATACTATAATAATATGACTTGAGTCATAAAATAAACAAGATTTTAGATATTTGAGTCATTTTTCAATGTTTTTATAAATTCTTATATAACAACTGAAGCTTTTTCAAAAAAAAAAAAAAAAAAGGAAAGAGAAAAATTTTCTGGTTTTGAAAAATAGAAGGGTCAAGTAAAAAACATCCTTTGGGGCAAAAAGGTATGAATGCACGACATTGAAATTGCAACGTACATGTCATCGGACAAACTACGACATTGAAATAATGTGCATTTCCAATATTTTCTTAAAATTATAATATTTGATCAAACATAGTTTGACCAAAATGACAAATGTGAAGAGAATCACATTATTAACCCAACTTTTAATTTTGACAATCTATCCTCTCAATTTGCTAAACTGTTGCAATTAAACCCATATGACAAACGGCTGTTAGATTGATGACAGAAGAAAATCAAGTGCCACTCAAGTGTGAGGCTTTCAAGTTAGCATGTAAAATTAAAAGAAAAGAATAAAAGCATAGTTCATTTTACGGATTCGAGTTTTTAATTTAAATTGAGATGTAATATTTTTTAAAAATTTTTTATTGTAACAGAAAAAATTAAATGTGATATTTTTTAAGAATTTTTTACTGTAAAACTTTAAAATTAAAAATTTAAATTAATAAAATAAATGAGACCAAAAAAAATTAGCACATATGATTCCGTCCAACATGGTACTAGGCTTTCATGGGTCAAGCGCTGCGGCTCCAACAAGCCAAGGCCACGACATTCACACGCTGTATTTTCATTAATAATATTGATCCTTGCAAGCCAATTTTCCTCTAAGTCTCTAAAAATCAACAAAAGCTTTCATTTTTCACCTATTCTGCAAAATTATTATAAAAAAATGGAAACAGTAAAAGTTCCTAAAAACTAACAAATTATCATGTTAAAGCTACTCAATTTTCAAAGTGTAAAACCAGCCAATCACTATCAATTAAGCCACACAATAGGCAGCCGAAAAGATCAAAAAACCACACACTAAAAAAAAATTCATACTTTTTTTCCTCTCTTGGACGCAAGAGCATTGCACCTATCCCCTCTCTCTTTCCCCCAGGCCCCACTGAGAGTGCCAGAGAGGCAGAGAACTTTGTTTGATTGGTTGTCTAATGGCTGGCTATTCACATGATTGTTGCAAAATTCTAAACAAGTTTAGTTGCCTTTTGTTGAATTGACTGTATACTCAGTGCTTATCCCCTTCACATTTTATTTTGAGGGGGAGTATGAGAATAGTTGAGATTTTTTTTAAATAGAATAAAGTAATGGACTAATTAATTATTTTTACTTATTTTATTTTTCCTCCTGTTGCTGAGCTGGATAATGACTCACATTGTTTGTGCATTTCCTCTCACCACTTTCCCAATTGCATGAATGAGAAGTAAAAAGTCCTGTTCATTTCGCTAATTTGAGTTTAAAATTCAAGTTTTATTATAGTAAAAAGTTCTAAAAAATAATCACATTTAATTTTTTTATTATAATAAAAAATTCTCACATAAAATTAAATCTTAACTCAAATTAAAAATTTAACTTAACTAAGTAAACGGATTCTTTCTTCCAACTTTCCCAATATTCAATTCCAATAGGAAGTTTTATGGAAATTGCTGTGTGGTCCACATGTCAGCAATCAATCTCAAGGCAATGATGAATAGAGACCTCTCCTCCATCATTTTGTTTGTTTTTTTTTTTTTTTATATAAATACCCACGCCCAAGAAGAGAGCAAATAAGTGAAAAGTGAGGTGGTTTTGATCAACAATCTGGTATTCTTCTTCTCTAATTTCCTTAATCAGCAAACAAATTAAGCCATGAAGAAGACAGAGACTCAAAAATTGATCACTCATATCACAATTACTCAAATCAAGACATCAAAAACAGTTGTTGTGGAGAAAACAAAGACTGATCAACAAAAGGTCACTCATCATCATCATCATCACCACCACACGAGTACTCAAGGCAAGGCAAAAACAGTTGCAGTGGGGAAAACAAAGACTGATCAACAGAAGATCGCTCCTCCTCCTCCTCCTAATCATCATCATCATCATCATCACCATCATCAGCATCATCACAACACCACTCCAGGCAAAGCAAATAACGTGGTTGTCGTGAAAAACACGATCATGATGAACGGCAAACCCGCTCAACCAAAGATCCTGGGAAAAGGTGGGAGCTCATCTCACTATTGAGACTGTGTCTATTACTTCTTTTTCATATTTCGTTTGGCGTACTTTTTATTTCTTAACTCTTGAGTTGTAGCCTCTGGGCATATATATGTATTATGTATTGTAAGACTCCTTTCATGAGTTGTAGCCTTTGTTACTCTAGTGTTTGTTCTTGCCTTCTTCATGGTTTTTTTTGTTTGTTTGTAATTTCCTCTTAGTTATCTCTCTTGGTGTGCTTTCTATATACCTTTAGTTATATATTATCGTTTGGTATGTGAGGGTTTGCTTAACAAAGAAGGGGGAAGAATTATTTGTGGATACGAATTTTTTACCCACAAAAGTGGGATTGTCACGCTCGCCAATGCTGCAGATTTTCGTTTAACTATTCTTTTGATTCGTTCAAATTCACCAAGTTTTGTTCCATTTAAAAAATAAAAAATACATAAAAAAAAACCCTTCCGAACTCCCCCTCCCAGGGTGCTGGAGATGGAGCCTTCTGGAGTAAAAATTTACTATGGGTATTTTGGGATTTTTGCAGTTATAATTTTGGTTGTTCTAATTCTTCTTTATAAAAGAGCGTGTTGCTTTTAGTGTTAATCAGAGAGATTAGAGAGATTACAAAGAAATGAGAAATAAAAACTGCTTAATGACGAGATTCGTTGCGCTCGCAATGATAACTTCTCTGAGAGGGAGATTTTGGTGCGACAATAATAAGGCTTGTTTCCTCTACACCGTTTTGAGAGAGAGAGAGAGAGAGAGAGAGAAAGCAAAGCCCATAAATGTTTAAAATTAGGAATAATTTGAAGAAAATCATAAAGGCCTTTTGAACGCTATCCTGTCTGCCGTTTGAACGCATCAAATTCCATAAAAAACTAATAGATATCCATTAAGTATAGTTTATTCTAATTAAGTATTTGGTCAGTCATAACTCACATGAAAAAGTCACAAAATCAAAGTAAGAATTTGCATAGTAGATTAGAGGCACACGCAATCTCTTGATCTGCTCATGGATTCCAGTATTTGACTGTATTACACCACCATATACAATTAATCAAACCTTCTCTTAGAGTACATGAAAGTGATATTTTATCTGCTTTAAATATAAATAAAAATATTATTACCCTAAAAATTTTAATAAAATATTATTTGTCACATAACCATACGGGACTAAATAATTTTATATAAAAAAATGCTTGAGAGCATTAGCACTATACTAGTAGAAGGTGAATTTTATTTTATTTTTTATTAGTGAATGGTGTTCAACACTACCATTATCTTATAATATTATTTATTTTATATTTTGTCATGTCACAATTTCATTCTATGTAATATTTAACCACCTATAAGACGTAATTCGTTTAATAGACGTGATGAAAAGACAAATAAAAAGGAGGCTGTTTATTTTTTCTCTAATTTATCATTAATAACAATACTCTTTAGACTCATTGTTAATGATGGTTAATTTATGCCCCGTTTACTTCACCGATTCGAGTTTAAAATTTGAGTTTTGTTACAGTAAAAAGTTCTCAGAAACAGTCACATCTAACTTTTTTACTACAGTAAAAAGCTCTAACATAAAATCACATCTCAATTCGAATTACAAAGTCGAATCAGCGAAGTGAACGGAACTCCCTTTAAATTTTAATTCTTAATGACAAAAAAACCTCATATAAAAAAGTGGATGTAGATAGTAAAAAGAGAGTGTGAATAGAAACATCCCAAACGGGGTAAAAAAGTTAAATGTGATTATTTTTTAGAGTTTTTTACTGTAGCACAACTTAAATTTTAAACTCAAATCAGTGAAGTTAACGGAGCAAAAAAGGTGACTACCATTTAGTTTGCCATCAAATTGCTAAAGGCCCCATCAGCTGGTGGGCTCTGAATTGTAATTATAAACCACGTGTTAGAGCAAGTTCAGGAAATTATGGGTTGTTCTTTTATAACAAAATTCGGAAAAAGTTGAAACTCAAGTTACAATTTTATTTAAGTTCACGTTCTTTTAAGTTTTAACTTTATTCAACTTTATTCAAATTACAACTTTAACTCAAGTTATAACTCAAATTTAACTCAAAAATTATACTCAAATTACATCTAAAGTAACATGCCCTATGGCACTACATGTATATTAATTACTACTTAAAAGGCCGAGAATAAATTACAATTTGCTTTGGAACAAGTGGGGACAATTAAAGATAGTTTTGTTGCATGCAGCAGAAAATCCGGCTATTGTTTAGTTTTTTATTTTGTATTTGGGAGGTTCCTAGTAGTAGTAAGTAAAGTGGTTTAATAAAATTATCACTTCTCTTGTACTAATTCGCTATTTTATGTCGCTTTAGATGTTTAATAGAACGTGACATCAAATTAATAATGGATAAAAGGAAGAAATCGGCACTGGTTTGTCGCGTTTTTTTTTTACCGGAAAATTTAATTAAAGAGGTGAATTAAGGGGACACCTTTCCTAATTCATGACTTAAAAAATAAATGTGAGAGATTTGTGAGGAAGAGAGAGTGATAATTACATGAATATCACAATCTTACATCCATAAAAAATAATTTCCCTAAATATGGGCCATCTGACTATAAATTATTGAAAATTTGAAAATTTGTGATTAAATTCAGCTATTTTTTTTCATCCTATAAATTATTTTTATTCTCCCCTAAATATAGGCCATCTGACTATTTTCCAAAATATGCAGCCCCCAAACCCAAGTGACTCCATTTTTTAAAACTTATATTTTATTAGTACTTTTACTGTGTGTTTGGTAGGGTGAAAAAGAAAGAGTAAAT